GCCGTCGCATTGATCGGTCGAGAGCAGCCCGGGTACCGCGAGGGCACGGACATTCATCGATCCGTCGCAACCGACTCAGCAAGGTACGTGGAGGTGGAGCTAGCCGCCGGTGCGCATGCAGGGCTACCGGTGAACGGCGCCTCCGGCCGGTCGACACGACGCCGCCGTAGCATGCATGCATGACGTCGTCTGCCGGCCGGAGCTAGCTGCATGCGGCCGCTTTCCGAGTCAGTCTGTTTAGGCCACAGCCTGCGAGAAGAGAAGAAGGCAGTGGGCTTCCATTGGCCACTATGCACGCGCTGATTCGTACTCTACCTGCAATCTCTATCAACCGCAGTCCGTTGCTTGTCATGTTCATGATCGTGACACTTCTAACTATTTTCCATTTTTTTGCGGGGTAACTATTTTTTCCATTTTACTAGAGTATAGTTGTGAAACTGTAAATAGTTAGTAAAAGATTATAAACGTTTTCTTGGATCTCTAACTGAGTTCCCACATCTCTAATCGGATTACTTGGGGCTCCTTTGATTCAAAGGATTATCATAGGAATTTTGAAGGATTTGAAACCTAACGATTTTTTTTCTATGTTGGTTGTTTGATCTATAGGATTGAATACTATTAGATTTTTTATTAGAGTTTCTTTATACTCCCTCCATTCTCTTATACAAGGCCACTATAAAAAATACATTTTGCATCTATACAAGGCCACTAACAGTAACCGATGCAAAATTTAATGATGTTTTCTTGTACTAGCAACTTGTTTAATACTTGCATGCATGTAGTCATAATGACACTATACTTCATTCTCATTCCTTCCTTGCATGCATGTGGTCGTATTAATGATTTCAGTTAACAAGAAGAAAAGTTGGTTTGCAAAGTAGTCATTACATTTTAGCTAGATACTTGTAGTTTGAGTTTATGGCCTTGTATAAGAAAATGAAGGGAGTACTACGTCTCATAGGATTTATGGTATTCACTTAAACCTCTTCCGAAGGATCTTTTATTTTTCCTATTATGCAATCAAACAAAGTAATAGGATTGAGACGAGCATGACATTTCAATCATATGTTTTTTTATTTCCATGTTTTCACAATCTTGCGAATCAAGAAGGCCCTTAATATGATTTATTTTTTCGGAAGGAATAAGGATCTTCATTGCCACCCACGGTCGACGGGTCGCTGCCGGCCTCGCTACCCCCATCATCCCCAACATGCCACATTCACCAGTCCTCCCTTGCCTCCGGCGTCCTATCTCATC